GGCCTTGCATACATGTATCTCATACACACAAAATACCTATTGACAGTATACTCCGGGTGATTTGCCGTCCGGTCAGTCGCGAAACGTAATTACATTATAGCTGGCGTAGCGTGTATGCAACCGATCTAACACACGGAGCTAGAGCTAGCTTTGGTCGGAAAAACATTTTTGTGATGCTACGTTGCTAGCGTTTAAATATATCAACTACAATGTCAGCAGATGGCCTTACATGTTTGTCATGGCAGGAGAATGTCTGCAGTCACACACATGGAATACTCATACAGTATACTCCGGGTGATTTACCGTACATTGTGACAGTACATATACTGCATGTATAGCTACGAGGCTAGCTGTATGCTAGCGCAAAACAATGCATTCATGACCGTTACAATGTATGACCGAACGTAGCAGACTACCCGTATAACATTGCAATTATAAACACGTTATTGCTAGCCTAATATGAACCACTAGCTTTTGTTCATAGTAGTTTTATTACTCTACATTATAGTTGCCGTTCCTCCGAGCTAACGTTAGCTACCAAGGTAAACAAAGCTAGGTTAGCATATTAGCTGACAAGCTGTTCATTAGATTGATTAGATAGATCCACACTCGGAAGGCCACAACGGAAAGACAAGGAGACATACACAAGTTTACAAAACCACGGCACATTTATTGTGGTAAATGCAGAGATACGTGGTCAGGGAAGAGGATTGCTGTGCTGCTTGGAGGGAGAGAGGCTGCCGTGTGACTCCCGGCAGCTGGCTAGCACCTCGGCTCCGGCCAGGTGTCCGTGATCGCGCTGATTAGCCTCTTCAGCTCCACCCCATCGTAAGACAAAGGCCCTGGGGCCGTCACACTCTTCTATAACAACAGTTAAAAATATATATATGTATATAAAATATACGCCATGATAAGACTGATGTTCGGCTGAGAGCAGCCGTTTAGACATGGGCGCAGCCTCTCTGGTGGTTGACTAATCAGAACAGAGTGGCCGAGCTGACCAATCGGAGCACACTAGGCTCACAGGGAGGGGGGGGGCAAGAGCTCCAACGAGTCGTTTAGTGGAGAGAGTGAATACTGCTGAATACACATGCTTGACAGAGATGCTGTATGCGAAACCAATGTGAGTTTGGAAAATTGCACAGTATAAATCTATTTTAGTATACCTCAACAATGTAATTATGATCAGTGGAAATGGCCATGACATGGGCCCTTTAACAGAAAGGTTTTAGGAGTATGAGAATGATTTGAATCAGGCTAAGAAATGTCTTTGTCTGTCGTTAAAAAGCGCCTAAAGCAACACTTGTGTTTTTATTGTCTCAAGCTTCCTATAGATTATTTTGGTGCCTTGTGAATAAATAAATTAAATGCTAAGAGACCCTGCACAACGGCTGGATTGTCGCAATATCACAAGATCATATGCAAAGCCAATAAAACCAGGAAATACAACTCATGCAATATCAAAAGATCTCATAAAACAATATGCATATAATATACATATGAATATAAAAGCTCTGCCCCTCATTCCTTTCTCCTCCCTTCATCCATCACATTAGTTTCTGTTTATGTCTTCCCACTTGTTGACAATCAAAGCCTTAATTAAGTCACATTTTATTTGATCTTTATTGGACATTTGTAACTATACTTACTTTTATAAAACGGACAAGTCAAATCAAGCAATCTGATTGGTTCTTAGCCGTGATATAATGAGCGTATACCACGGGTAGAATTGTAGTTACTTTTCACAACAAGTCAGTATCCCTCCGCGTCTGAGAAAAAGCTACAACCGTTACAACTGTTAATTGACGACATGCAGAGCGACATGCAGAGCGACATGCAGAGCGACATGCAGAGCGACATGCAGAGCAGGTAGACCAACTGGAAAAGTACCCCCATTCAAAAGCTTTCTGATGTGGGTCTTGAAACAAAGCAGAGACATGATGACCGTTAGTGGCCACAGGTGCGAAAGCTCTCTCCAAAGCTACTGGAAGCCGAATCTCGGGGACCGGAGAAAGTGGAGCAATATTCTCGCCACGCCAAGCAACAGCCTAGAACAACCTCAGCCTATACAAGTAACCACGTAAGCCATGCTACTGATGCTGGACAGTTTTTCAGTGGCTGCACAATGCTGCATCCGCTTCGCGTCGGGCCGAACCACGCCCCTTAACTGTGATATAATGACCATATGCCACGGCCTGTCGTGAGCTATTGCTTAAAGTGGACCTATCATGCTATATTTGAATAATATAGTATAGGACCATACCTATATACGGCATATTTATACTTTTTTTTTTTCAAAATACCAAACAGATCATGCATTTTATCCATGCCTCATTTCGCTCAATTTGACATTTTTTAGCTCTGTTTTAGCAAGGGCTGATTCAGTGAGAACAGCACCATCTACAGGCCTGGCATATGTACTACAGCGTCTCCAGCGCTTTCGAACGGCAATGGCCGTGGCTGTCTCCTCCTGATTGGTGGAGTTGGCCCAATAGCCGTAGCGCCACCGTCCTGACGTCAGGACAGTGTTCAAATCTGGATCAGTTTTTATCAGATCCGTTGCAGCCCCTTTTTTAGAGATTTGGGTATGGAGGAAAATAGAGAGGGTTGTGTTTTCTGACACTTGGTGAGTTCCCTGGAACACCGGGGACACATATTCATGTATAAAAGACGTACAAAAGTGCATTTTGCATGATAGGTCTCCTTTAAATATAAATATTTGTATTCATATTTTCTTCTAAAATGAGGCAACTGTGACAAAACCAAATTTCCTCGGGATTAAAAATATATATATTCGGATCTGATTTTACATTTGATAGACTAAATGATTCAAAAAAGTAATAGACACAATCATTTGGTAGTTGCAGCACTTTTGAATATTGTGACTTCCACGCATCTGAATATTTGAAATCAATCAACATACTTTATTAATCCCAGGGGGAAATGAATGATATAAATCTAAAAGCTCAACTCTCTGCCCCTCATTCCTTTCTCCTCCCTTCATCCATCACATCAGTCTGTTTATGTCTTCCCACTTGAATGAAACACATTACACATCAGAGCCTTAATTAAGCCAAATGGTCTTAATGCTGTTATTTACACTTCCAGTTGGACAGCAGCCAGCAGGAGAATCACAGCCGCTCCATTCAGCACTTTCTCTCAGTATGACTCGGTTTAGCTCTTAGTAAATAACACCTTCTATCTAATGAGCCCGCAGACTGCTGTGTTGGTAACACTGTGATTCTCCGCTGGTCCTTTGCAAGTGTTTTTAGCATCACACAGCTGTGGCTTCAGCTAAAAGTGCGTGTCGTGGCTTCCTTCCTTGTTTATCTATCAAGCCACTAGACGCCTTAAACAGACATGTTTTAACTCGTTTCCTTTCCTTTATATTACTTACAGTTTGAAGAGTTGCTTGGCCTCCGATGGTTTAGATCAGGGCTATTCAATTAGTTTGGAATGGGGCCCGGTTGATGAAAATGATCCAAAGCAAGGGGCCGGGAAAAAGATGGCTTGAAATATGAGCAATCATATTAAGAGCTTCAGATACAGTAAATACTACAACAGCATAGTGGAGTGCATATATTGTGTTTAATTCAATCAAACAACATAGCCCCAAGGCCTTTAGAGATCTAAATGGCAAGTTCAGAACTCAGTAGAACTACATGTGAAGCTGATTTAACCATCAACATCATTTCATTTGATTTAATTTAGGTGAAATTATCTAATCATTCACGCAGAGATGCAATAAATGACAGGAGTTGTCACTACAGTAGCTAGTAGGTGGGTTCGAAACCAGAGCCCGCAGAAGTTTTCAGGCAATGTCTTTCTCTCTATCTCTTGATGTAACACCCTCTCTGGAATAAAGGCACTTAAAAAAATTCATTAAAAAAAAAGTAGATTACTTTTTAACATTATAGAGAGGCGAAGTCCCTCCCCTTCCGGGGGACCTCCATGGGTATGTATTAAAGTCAATGGAGAGAGAAAGATTATCTTTCGATCCCGTTTGAATTGTGCCACGAATTACACACATGATGTTTGTCAATTTAAAAGATAATTTTGCAAGTTAAAAAAATAAAAATGTGTCGTAAAACTGTGAAGTAACACTTTTTTTGTGTGAAACCGCTCAATGAACTACATCTCCCGTCTCGCACCACACACCAAGACGGCCGTCACGTTGGCACATCTCACTTCTTTCTTTCAGAATGAGGCGGAAAGTATTAAAAGAGGTGAAAATCACTCCAAGTCTGGGCATGTTGAGAGCTGTACATACACACAAGGGGAGTTAGTCGGTTCCTAAGAGCCAGCATGCGGGACCGGGACTCTGGGATTTGTAGTCTTTCTAGTTGCGTATTTTCATAGTCTTATATTTCAATAGTTTTACGACAAACTGTGACTTTTTTGACATGGAAATTATTTTTTAAGATTGACAAACATCATATGTGTAATTCGTGGCGAACCGTGTCTATCACAACTGGACCTTCTGTAGAGACACACACACCCCCCGCCGCCAGGTTGCTGCCCATCACTGCCACTTTAGAGCAGGCGCCGTGGGAATTGAAATCCTTTTATAGTGTGTTGACTACAGACGTCACAATTAGGTGGCCTTTCTTATAAAGTCAAAATACTGGCTCTAACAGTGCGTCTACTTCATTTCAGTCAGTTATGTTAAAGAAACCCTGGTGAGAAGAGGATTTCAGTTGTTGTGCACCAAACCTACAGACAGGCCTCTAAAACTAATTAAACATCCCATCTGCTCAGCCAGGAATAGTTTAAATATACGGAAGCCCCTGTGAATTACATTTTTGTATGAGATGCTAAACGGTTTACTGCTGTGTTTACATTGTTTTGTTCCATTTTACTCCTCAGTGTTTCATTTTTACTTCCCTGCAGCTGTTCACTCGTTTGAGTCTCATATGGATTATATTTCTTTGACATAATGGAAGTGATTTACTGGAATCTGTGTCCAAACATATGAACTTCTCTCAGTTGATGCCACTCACCTGAGACAGGTGTTGTCAGTGAGAGGCTTCTGACTGACAAACAGTCCCTCGGCTCTCAGAGACTCCGTCATCGCTTCAGCTTCACTCAGCTGGAGGTCCAGGTCTGCAGGAAAAGAGGATATGGTCTTTTATAAGGTGTATATCAGTATGTAGTGTCTCTACTTTAAAGAGTCCTCTCCTGCTGATGTTCAGGTGTATATCAGTATGTAGTGTCTCTACTTTAAAGAGTCCTCTCCTGCTGATGTTCAGGGTGTATATCAGTATGTAGTGTCCCTCTACTTTAAAGAGTCCTCTCCTGCTGATGTTCAGGTGTATATCAGTGTGTAGGTCTCTACTTTAAAGAGTCCTCTCCTGCTGATGTTCAGGTGTATATCAGTATGTAGTGTCTTACTTTAAAGAGTCCTCTCCTGCTGATGTTCAGGTGTATATCAGTATGTAGTGTCTCTACTTTAAAGAGTCCTCTCCTGCTGATGTTCAGGTGTATATCAGTATGTAGTGTCTCTACTTTAAAGAGTCCTCTCCTGCTGATGTTCAGGTGTATATCAGTATGTAGTGTCTCTACTTTAAAGAGTCCTCTCCTGCTGATGTTCAGGTGTATATCAGTATGTAGTGTCTCTACTTTAAAGAGTCCTCTCCTGCTGATGTTCAGGTGTATATCAGTATGTAGTGTCTCTACTTTAAAGAGTCCTCTCCTGCTGATGTTCAGGTGTATATCAGTATTTAGTGTCTCTACTTTAAAGAGTCCTCTCCTGCTGATGTTCAGGTGTATATCAGTATGTAGTGTCTCTACTTTAAAGAGTCCTCTCCTGCTGATGTTCAGGTGTATATCAGTATGTAGTGTCTCTACATGTCTCCATGCTTTAATGTTCAAAAAACTCTTTATTTTTCTCATACTGCCTGTGCTGCAGCACCTCTTTTCACCCTCTGTCAGAAACCAGAACCCAGTCTGCTCTGATTGGTTAGCAGGCCGGCTCTGTTGTGATTGGTCAACCGCTTAGAGATGTTAACTTTGGGATTTTAGCCTTTGCAGACCATTTACATGCACAAAAACCGATAGAACACACTACAGGAGAGGGATGACCTCAAACAGACATAATACGGCCCCTTTAATAATAATAAATCATACACAAAAATCACCTATCTGGAGCATTGATAGCTTCCAGCTGAGAATGCATACTCTATATGTGAGTAAAGCTCCTTTAATACAGATTTTTTAAGAAAATGAGCCGCCCATAGAACCAGAAACATATTAATGTTCACAATCTGGTCTAAAGATACGGTCCAACTGCCTACAACTGTATGGCTGACTTTGCTGCTGTTTTTCTGGCTTACTCCTTTTTGTGTCTAGCTCTGATATCTGTCAAACAGAAGAAGAAAAAAAACTGAGTGAATGAAACAAACAAAGGGGCTTGTAAAGCGTGTTTCAGAAAAATAAACCTGTCAGCTTGTCAGTTGCTGGGGTGAAAATTGCAGCAGTTTAAATCTCTCTCTCTCCCTCTTTCAGAAGCACATCATCTAACACAATAATAACCTTTCAGCGTTCACCTTTCTGAACATTTTCCAGGCTCTGCACTTTGAGCAGCAGCACTCTCTTCTCCTCCTGCAAAGAGCTCATGTGTCGGTTCCTACGGCTCATCAGATCCATCTCTGGAAGTTAGGGGAGAAAAGACTATTTCAAACTGGACAATGATCGAGTGAAAAGCACCAGAGGGGCCGAACTTAACATAGAATTTAGAAAACTTTGTATTTTTTAGATAATGCAACAAGAGCATTTTTTTAATTCACTTTAACTGTACAAACAATCAAAAACAATGTTCCCTTGAGCCCAAAAATAAATCACAATGGTTCTCTTTTGTAATTATGCGAGCTTTATTCATGATCTTGTAAAACTAATAAAAACAATTTCTGATTAAAAGTTACTAGGCTTTAAAATATATTATACTTTAAAATCACTGTGACAGCATTTTCTGATAACACTGCATAATATTTATTGCTGATTCTAAAGATTCAATTATAATAACACCCATTTAAACTTCAAAAACACCGCTTGTGTTGTTCTCAAAACTATCTCATTACTGATATTAGTTTTGATATCATTCTCGAACCACCATCTATTCCTCACGTCAGTAACGTTGGTTATTGAAGTGACTGTTATTTTGTATGTATTGATTGTTGTGCTTGTATTTATGTGTTAATGTGTGCATATGTATAAATGTGTCTGTTGATTGTGTAATTATAATTATAAATGTTGACTTTGAACCATCAGCATTTTTCACTTTCTTATGACCACTTGTATACATCAAAGTGTTGAAATGAGCAGTGAAGGTCACATCTGCATTATCTAACATGTGTTTTCCCACCTGTGTTCACGGCGTCCTCCTCCCTCTGCAGGTTCAGCCTCTCGGTGTGTGTTTGTTTCTCAGAAACTACGCCTCTGTTCCCGCAGAGACTGAAGTCGCCGTTAAACCTCGAGATCTCTTCGAGGAAGTTTTTCTCTTCTTCCTTACACTCCCACTTTATCTTGGCCTGGTATGAAAACACAGATTAAAGGAAATGCTTCCAACAATAATATCATTACAGCTGGATGTGATACTACTACTGCTACTGCTACTACTACTGCTACTGCTACTGCTACTGCTACTGCTACTACTGCAACTACTACTACTACTGCTACTACTACTACAACTACTACTACTGCTACTGCTACTACTGCTACTGCTACTACTACTACTACTACTACTGCTACTGCTACTGCTACTACTACTACTGCTACTGCTACTACTGCTACTGCTACTACTACTGCTACTGCTACTGCTACTACTACTGCTACTACTACTGCTACTGCTACTACTGCTACTGCTACTACTACTGCTACTGCTACTACTACTGCTACTGCTACTACTACTGCTACTGCTACTACTACTGCTACTGCTACTGCTACTACTGCTACTACTACTGCTACAACTACAACTACTTCTACTGCTACTAGTACTGCTACTAATACTACTGCTACTACTACTTCTACTGCTACTGCTACTGCTACTACTGCAACTACTGCTACTACTTCTACTGCTACTGCTACTACTGCAACTACTACTGCAACTACTACTGCTACTACTGCTACTGCAACTACTACTACTACTGCTACAACTACTGCTACTGCTACTACTACTGCTACTAGTACTGCTACTGCTACTACTGCTACTGCTGCTACTACTGCAACTACTACTACTACTGCTACAACTACAACTACTTCTACTGCTACTGCTACTAGTACTGCTACTAATACTACTGCTACTACTGCAACTACTACTGCTACTATTACTGCTACTACTACTGCTACTATTACTGCTACTACTACTACTTCTACTGCTACTGCTACTAGTACTGCTACGGCTACTACTTCTACTACTGCTACTACTACTGCTACTGCTACTACTACTTCTACTGCTACTGCTACTAGTACTGCTACTAATACTGCTACTGCTACTGCTACTACTTATACTACTGCTACTACTATTGCTACTACTACTTCTACTGCTACTAGTACTGCTACTAATACTGCTACTACTGCTACTACTTCTACTACTACTACAACTACTGCTAATGTTATTGAGGCTAAAAGAAAATATTAAAATCAAAGACAAGAGTTTAATGTATTATTTTACCTTTTTTTTTAATATATTTTCCTCACTAAAATATATGTATTTAATTGGAAATGTTTAACTTTAATTTCTAATGTTTACAAAAACACTTTATTTTAACCTTTTTATTACTTTTTATTTGTCTTTATTGGACATTTGTAACTATACTTGATTATATCTATATATATATATATATATATATATATATATATATAACTGTGACAAAACCACTTTTTCCCGGGATAAAAAAAATATATATTCCGATTCTTGATTATTTGACTTTTTTATAGAGTAAATGATTAAAGAACTATTTAAAAAAAGGAATAGACAAAATCATTTGGTTTGAAAAAAATGTTTTAGTTGCAGCAGTTATGAATATTGTGAATTCCACATCTGAATATTTGAAATCAATCAATCGAAATACTTTAGTAATCCTGGGGGTAAATTACGTTTTGACACAGTTGCATCTATATTAGAATAAAATAAATACATATACAAACATAAGTTGAAGCAAGAATATGTAATCAAAGTCCTTGTAGCTACTCGGACACATTAGGCACAGAAGCTCTGTTATGTAGTTAATAGAGCTCAGCTAAATAAGTCAAAAAGCAGATGTTCCAACATAAAAATGGTTAACCGAGCTCTTCACATTACACAGAACCAATATGATGTAAACATTGATTCAGGCTTTAACCCACGAGCTGTTCTGTGAGTCGGCTCTTCTGGCCGAGCAGCTCCTGGATCTGCTTCAACATCTGGACTTCACTTTTCTTCATCAGGTCGCGCTGCAGCCGCATCGCAGACAACTGCTGAGCCTGGAGCGCAGACACATGAGAAATGTACAGAGAGTAAATACATAACAGATACTTTACATGTGGAGAAAAGTAAGTGATCCCACAGGAGGCTAAATGAGATTAAATTAAAGTTTTAGGATAGACAGCAGCTTGAACAATCACTTTGAAAAATGACCCTTTTCTTTGATTTATTCTAAAACCTGGGTGTATACATTTCTTTTTCTATAGATATATATTTGCTTTGATACTTTCTTGTAAACTTTCCATTGTGTGATTATGGGATCCAGCCTAAAAGAATAAAGACAATTGCCCATATTATGACAGAGAATAAAAATTATGTAGGATGTTTTTTAAAAGATGTCTGAGGCCTGACTTTCTGACAAAAAAGAGTGTACTGAGAGTGAATACTTAACATGGCCTGGGACCCCCGCTGACTATTATCCACCCCAGAAAAACATGTTGTTCTTTTTAATATTGTTGCACATTTTCTGCTCCACGCTACCTCTTTTTGAATCAGCACAGCTCTCCACTTTGAATAAAGTATTTGTCATATTTTACTGTACTCACTTTCTCACATTTCATTTTGTGTTAATACCGTCTTTATTTTCTATGAGTAGCAATAGTCTTAACATTGTTTTTTTCTTTGTATGCACCATATATACCAAAGCAAATTCCTTGTATGTGAACAGTAAACCTACTTGGCAATAAAACCGATTCAGATTCTGATGATTCTGAAATGTTAATGATCCCACAGGAGGACAATTAGATGGAATTAAAGTACTAAGATCGGCAACAGCTGGAACAATCGTTGTGCTGTATATTGAATGAGGTGGCATGTAACCTGGGTGTATACATTTCTTTTACTATTCATATATATTCGCTTTCAAATGTTCTTGTAAACTTTCCATTGTGTGATTATGGGATCCAGCCTAAATGAAAAAAGATAATTGCCATATTATATAGGATGTTTTTAAACATGTCTGAGGCCTGACTTTCTGTACAGTTTTCAGTCTGCAGCCGGATCTGTCAAGGCGGTGAGTTTATTGTTCTTTATACTGAGCACAGTACATTTTCAGCAAGCACTATCAACTTCCAAGTTTTCTAAACACTGTAATTATCTTAAGCCAGCTCTCATAAACTGTAAGACGTTACATCATGACGGCTGTAAACACACTGTGCTGTAAACACACCCTGCATATCGGCACGATGTAAACACTCTCAATATCCCTCTCTATGGGGTAAGAAAAGGTATCCGTGTCCCGTGTTCTCAGGCGATAACATGGGGTTGTAATTCAGCAAACTGTCTGATTGGCTCTTCTGATCGGATGTCCACAGGAAGAAGTTTGCCATATTTCTGAGAGGTCAACAAGCCGGCCTTCCGACATCACATTTCACACAAGCTAAAAGGTTTCTCTAATGTTATCCGGTGGAAATTAACCATTGATTTCGCATCGGCACTTGCAATTTGTACCGTTGATAAAATGAATGGCAGGGATTAGGTGTTTTAAATCATAAAGGAGATCAGTTCATCAATACGCCAATATGCACTTCCTAAAGTGTTGATGCTACTGAGACTGTGTGCTGCCTCAAGGTTTTTATTTTTACACTATACCAGATTACAAAATTAAATGAACAGTGGCATTATTGATGCTGCTCCTTAGAAAACAAACACAATAGTAACATATTAACCAATTACTCATCATGTTACTGTTCCTTACTCAATAAGCCCATATGAACATTTACTGTAGTCTATCTACAGGCACAATTCAAGGTCAAACTAAATCATATTTCACCATGTACATGAGTATAAGGCTGTGTTCTGTCATAAATCACCATTTCCATCAGAAAGGAATAGTCACCATTTACTGACACTGGCTCACTGGGAAAAATGTGGAAATTGGTAAAAACCTATGGTTAATATTCAGGTAATCCTGTTAAAACTGATAGAAAAACAATCAAAGCATGTTAAAAAGGTGTGCATCTCAGACATCCATTAGCTTTGGTATTAATTCCAACAGCCTGCTGAATCATTAATATATCAAATGATGTATAAGTCAGCTCCTTACACACTGCATCATGACACATTGTTAATGACACTCTTACTTACATGATCTTAAAATAAGGAAAATAAACTCACCTTTGTCTCCAGTTCCTCATTAGTCTTTTCATTCTTCTCAGTGGCGCTCTTTATCTTCTCATTGTATCTGATAATGGCCACTTTAACTGAAATAAAGATTACTGATTAGCCGATAGCATGCAGCAAAACACTCACATGCACTGAGCTACATTTCACAAAATAAGTATGTTTGAATGTCACATTACATTTAAATGTATAGACTAAATGATTACATAATTGATAAAAGAAAATAGACAAAATAATTTAGTTTGAAAAATAAGATGTTGTAGTGCCGAGAGAAGGGAGTCGGAGGCGGTGCATCGAAGGTACGAAGTTAGCTTTAATGAGCAGCAGAAACGCACATGTTGTCGGGTCGCAGCCCGGGAAGACAAGAGAAAGCGAAAGGAAGGAGGACACAGTATATACCAACAACATATATGTCCGTGCGGAAACAATACCCCCAACCTGTAGTTCCATGATTGGATTATGTAACCCAGTGTATTAATCAGTGATCACTACAATGTGTTAGTTGCAGCATTTATGAATATTGTGAATAACAAATCTGGATATTTTAAATCAATCAAAGTACTTAATCCCAGATCGAAATTAGTTTTTTTGACAGTTTTTGTGATTGGTTGAACCGAGTAAAACCTGATATATATTAATTATAATTATAAGAGGATGGCTAATGTTTATATTGCTAACATAGCTAGGTACTGTAGCAATGAAGTCCTCATACTTAGCTTTAGCTATACAGGGTTCATACACTTTTTTACAAATGATTTTCAATTACTTCTCCATGACCTTTACCTAATTTTCCATGACCAAATAAATAACGGTACCACTGAAAATTGTTTATTTTAACATGGAACAGGAACAAATCCAAAACAAATCAAATAGTAGGCTTAGTAGCTTCTACAGGCTAAAGCAACTAAAATCTCTCACCAGCAAAATACCTCGTCAGTTAAATGCCATTTTACGTTTCATTACTATACAATACAGTATTTATTATCATTATAGTATTACTATTTTGGCGATTAGATCAAATATAAATTATATTTGATGCAACTTTAGTTACATTTCCATTACTTTCCCAGGTTTTTAATGACCGTAAGAACCCTGGCTATAGCATATTTTTCTGTCCGAAATTCAAGTAGAAAAACAAACATACCTTCCTTTAGTCTTTGAGTCTGTTCAGTTAACTGCTGTTCAGTGACAAGGATTTGCTCAAAGAGTGTGTCTAAACTCATTTTAAGTCAATCAATGGCTCAATAAGTAACCTAGAATGACATTAATATTGAACCTACTGTACATAAAGTTGGTTAGCTTGTTAACTTTGACGTTAGCTTGAATATAGCTAGCTACTCCTATGACGCAGTTTAAACTAATCTCCCGGATGTGTCAACAACTGATAACCAGCTGACGTCACGTTTTTTCAGTTACGTTACTTGGCTGACACAGCGTTCAAGATCCCCGCTCCTGGTTTGTTGTGTTTATACAACAATGAACCACCAAAATGTATTATTTGGATCGATGTTTTTGAGAAATGAAGCATCAACAGGTACAACATTGAATAACGGCTCGTCGTCAACGGTTATTTAACGATTCGTCAACGTTTCTTAAACAGTTTGTCAACGGTTCTTTAACGGTTCGTCAACGGCTCGTCAACGCAGCTAAAGCTAAACGAATGTCCCGGATGTGTCAACAACTGATGGCTAACAAGTTAAAATTACTTTAGATAACTTTTAGGTGAACAAAAGTAACGGTCATGGATGTTTAAAGAGAACTGGATAAAGCATTGAAGGAACTGTTCACTCCTGTGAGAGTTACAGCAAACCTAAACGACCTAAACTACTTATGTATATAAACCACATTTGAGATACTTGCACTGTACTTGAGTACTTCCATTTTGTGTTGCTACTTTGTACTTCTACCCCACTACAGTTCAGGAGGTTAATTGTGTACTTTTACTCCACTACATTTGTTTTGTACCTTTAGTTACTTTACAGACTCGAGTAAAGTAAAAAGTCTCTCAGAATTGTACTTAAGTACTTGAGTAAATGTACTTATTTACTTTAAACCACTGGACAAGCTGTACATTCGTATTTCTCTGTCATTTACTTTATTAAATGTGCCTTTTTGGAGTCACCATTCCTGTCCTGTTTCTGCTTATAATTTACAGCAGTGTTGGCAAACTGTGGTCCCTTACAGTAAAGTGAGTAATTGATCAGTTCACACTTAAATGTTTTAAAGTGCTTTATGGCCACACTCAGCTTTCTTTACAGTAATCCATTGCCTACATTTGTCACACAATTCCTGACTTTGACCAATTTTCCGGTTTCACCACAGGGACAGAGAAAAGCTGATCTGATCCGGTGCCATGAAGCGCATTACCGTGTGAAACGTTAAATGACCAGAGGACTACATCATTCTGACATTCATTTGCTAAATTAATACCACATATTGATTGAGGCTTTTCATAAATCACCAGACTGAGAGCCCTTCCCCCTGACTGGCAAAAGAAAGGCTCCCTTTGGAGACTTAAGAACAGCAAAGTCATCACATTGTAAGCAGACAATTATCCCAGATAGTACACTGAGCCATTCATTGTACCCTTTTTTCTGTCTGACATATTAAAAAAGGCTGTGGGCATATCTTATTAACAAAAAATGAAAGTAATTTTGAAAAGTGTGTCTGTACCTTGCAGGATTGATTCATCTACCTAATCATGGCTTCCTTTCCAAAAAGGGATCATTCAGTGACGTTTAAATAAGCTATTTCATCTCATCTCTATCCCTGTGTGTGTGTGTGTGTGTGTGTGTGTGTGTGTGTGTGTGTGTGTGTGTGTGTGTGTGTGTGTGTGTGTTGTGTGTGTGTGTGTGTGGTGTGTGTGTGTGTGTGTGTGTGTGTGTGTGTGTGTGTGTGTGTGTGTGTGTGTGTGTGTGTGTGTGTGTGTGTGTGTGTGTGTGTGTGTGTGGTTGATTTATTGTGGTGCACGCCAGCATCCCTGATTGATTCGGCTCACTCTTTAATGCAGAGAGGGGCTCATTGACATAGTCCGGTCCCATGTATTTAGCCAAGTGGATTAGCCTCTGAATAGACCATATAATCAATGACCTGAGGGAAGAGTTACAACCCGCCTGGTGCATCATTCATGTTATCATTATCATGCATGTTTGTCAAATCTCCAGCCATTTGACAGAGCATTGATCAAACAGAGGCGTCTAGATAAGATGCACATATTTCTTTATGATCCCAACAGGAGATATTGAGTGTTAAAAAGAAGCATGCATGGTTTTTAAATGAAACCTTTACTCTTAAACCACCAACAGATGGCGACAGAGGCCATGTCAAGCTTCCTCTGTGTGACTGAACAGGTTTCCCCAAGTATCAAATAGATATTTTGTAGAGGCAATGTAGTATACTAAATCCTCTGAATTGCATGAACACCCTAACAGCCTTCTTTCGTTGCAGGTGGCAGCTGACATTGCACAACACTTTTTGTCATGTTGCAAATGGGATTAACACAACGGCAAACTGGGAGGAGCCACACATGTTTGAAATATCATGAGTAAGGTATATGCACAGACATATGTTCATTCATGTTGTCACCCACCCTTCAAAATGGGATTTAGATTCAACAAATTGCCATACAATCTCCACATGTTGCTTTTTTTTCTTCATAAAATGCTCTTTGCCCTCTCCCTGTCAGCAATGTACATCCAGCCCACACGCATCGATAGTTTATAGTGCTGGTTTCATTTCATAACTGCAACCACATGCCCTTTGTGGTCCGTGTGCACTGTACTGGACTGGAACCGTGGCTATTTTTCGGAGAGCAGTGGATTAAAAATAAACACCAAACAAATAATATAACCCCAAATAAATTAGTGTTAAGAGTATAAAAAAAACATCCATGTGCTGCTGGGAACCCATGGGACTTCAGTCTCTGCTCCTCATTAGAAGGCTAATTATTTTATATTTTGTGCTGCCGTGGTGATATTGCCATAATAAGGAAGGCATAGCTCAGAATAAGAAACAGGGTTATTGCCAAGTACACATACGAGGAATTTGCCTTGGTGTATTTGGTTCGTACAAAAACACAAATTGTAAGAAAAGGACGATACAAATAAAACAACGATATAACCAACTATTTAAAGAAAACTTGAATACCATTAAGTCTATGTGAGTGTATTAATCTGTGCTGTAGTATGAGGGGAAGCTGGCTGTCCTCGTGCTGAGTGCGCAGACAGCGGTGGATCCAGTTTGCTGCGCGCACTCAGACGCACGGACTCATCCCGCTTGCAGGACTTGGAGGAGGACTCTTGTTCCCGTTCTGCTTTCACCGAGCTCTGATCCCGGGTCTTTGTCTCCCGGCGGCGAGAAGACCACCCGCACGGGAGCAAAAGAGAGTAATTTACACTTTCTGCGTTTTGTATTGACTGAGAAACTGAGAATCGGGACTGGACACTTGTTCTTTTTTGAGGGGATTGTATTTCTCGCATCTGTTCTTGGAGCGCACACTGCTATAGGCTACGTCTTTTTTCTCTCCAATGGATTGTAATACACTGGAAGTACCCTGGGAATTAAAGTACTGTTAAGTCGCTTTTTGATCGCCAATTTTGTTCCAATAAGGATTTGAGTTTCACATGGAGAGGAAGACGATGATCCTCCCAGTGCTGTGCGTCCTTCTGCCTCTTTTGGGTAAGTTTCACTGGCTTTTTTATTACACCCAACAGCTGTCCGTTTGATACTAATTCATCTCATTAGTGTGCAGTGGCTCTATTAATAACGGGGGAGCCTGGCAGTGAGCGCGTGGAGGCTAATGTAGTCCAAAGTGCTCCAAAAACAAATCCGGATCTGTCGTCAAAACAATAATGATGTGTAATCACTCAAATGCACGTCTCATCTGTAACTGGAGGATCGAAAGTTGTATGAAACTGCGTTGATCTCCTCAAATGTGAAACTAATATGTTTGTTGTGACCTACAGCAATTGTCATGCCAATATATTCAAAGGCTTTATTCTCATATGAACAGTAAATGGCAATGGAAATCTTAAATCCAGGCTCTTCCAACAAAGCAATATACGACATAAAAAAAAGAAACTGGCTTCAAGGCAGCCTATAAACCTTGTAAATGTACTACTGTGAACTAATTAGCAACCAACCAAAAGAGGCATGTTTGATTTAGACTTGTATTATTATTATTAGGCTAATTATTATCATTACAATAAATGCCTCCTCTGTTCTGGAGAACCTGCGTGCCAAGAAAATGCACTACACTGAAAAAACTGAAACGTTGATTTTAATTAAATGTATTATGTCAACACATTTCACACAACTGTATTAAGTCAGTGGAAAGCAATAATATTAAGTAGTCCAAATAAAAACACATTAGGTTCAACTTAATATTATTGCTTTCAACTAACCTTATACACTGTACTGTGAACTAATTAACATGCAGACTTATTTGTATTTGATCAATCACTACAATAAATGCCTCCTCTGTCTCCAGATGTGTTGTGTTTCGCGGAGGAGAGCCTGCATGCGTAGACAATGTACACTGAAACAACTGTATTAAATGTATTATGTCAACACATTTCACATAACTGCATCAAGTAAGTTGAAAGCAATACTATAAAGTAGTCAAAATAAAAACATATTAGGTTCAACATATTTTTGCTTTCAACTAACCCTAATACAGTTATGTAAAATGTGTTGACATAATACCTTTTAATTAAAGTAATGATTTCAGTTTTTCCAGTGTACAGTAAACTAATTAGTCAAAGTCAAAAGTCAAAGTCAATCTTTCAGTTTGTGTGTACAGACAGAGAGATCGAAATACCGTTTCCAACAATCCTGAATATAAAAACAAATATATATAAAAATATGTATACCTATATACAGAATCAACAGACACATTTATACATATGTATACATTAAAGGTCACCTATTATGCAAAATCCACTTCTTCATGTCTCTTCTACATGAACATGTGTCCCCTCTTCTTCATGTCTCTTCTACATGAACATGTGTCCCCTCTTCTTCATGTCTCTTCTACATCAACATGTGTCCCCTCTTCTTCATGTCTCTTCTACATCAACATGTGTCCCCTCTTCTTCATGTCTCTTCTACATGAACATGTGTCCCCTCTTCTTCATGTCTCTTCTACATCAACATGTGTCCCCTCTTCTTCATGTCTCTTCTACATGAACATGTGTCCCCTCTTCTTCATGTCTCTTCTACATCAACATGTGTCCCCTCTTCTTCATGTCTCTTCTACATCAACATGTGTCCCCTCTTCTTCATGTCTCTTCTACATCAACATGTGTCCCCTCTGTGGAAAGAGAC